ATATTGACAGAGCCACTCCTAGATGAAAATATTCTTAATTTTGCAATAGTTTGAAGAAGAAATTACAGTATCAAATCCTGTCGCTTATGTTGTTTATCTTCAAAAGTATGGAAAAAAACAGAAATAGTATTGAATCATTAATAACATTGAACCAATATCTTAAAAAACATTTAGTTAAATACACCTGATTCAGTTGAACTCTGATCATCAGCAAAAATTTGGAGCAGATCTTCATTTCTCCATAATGAAATAGACTGAATTAATTTCACTCTGATTCTGGGTGTCTGCATATCTTAGATCTAAGTTTATTTCTTCTTATCTCTTGTCTATTGTAAAGGGTAGCAACAGAATAAAAGAAATTATTAAAAATGTTTAAAAAAAACATTGCAGAGAGTAGATTGGATGGAATTTTCAGACTAACTTATTTCTTCTCAGTCCTGCCACATTTTATATTAAAATGTGGGGCAGGATTATACAATACAGGTTTGAGAGTTCAAAACAGAATGAGCCAATATTGCTTTTTTGGACAGTTGTTATGATTATATTATGCATCATAGAGATATATTTAACTACCTAACCTGAAAAATTTCAGAATAAGTAATACATTGCATTTAAGGAAGCAGAGCCCTCCAGAGGCGTGGAGGAGACAAGAAGGTCAAATAACAAAAGCATTTGCAACACAAGATCTGCCCTTTTTTGTATGTGCATTGTAATTCCACGTAGACATAAGAAAGGGGTGGAATATGTGTGGAAGATCCTAAAGCTGCATCTTGAGTTTTCTAGTTTAGAATGCAGGAGAAAATGAATAAAATTCCCTTTTTCCTGTTAATTGCCATTTACAATTTTTTTATGAAAATGGATACATCATTAAAAATGAATAGGCAAAAAAGTCTTCAGTTTTGTAAGGACAGGTATGGATGCTGAAGAGTTAAAGCATCATAATGGATGAAAATAGTTTTTTGTTTGTTTGTGTGTTCTGTTCAACTGACAGCAACTGACAACTGTTCATAAAAAATAAGGATATATATCCTTAATATATATATATATTAAGGTCACAACCCCTGGTATGCCCAAATATGGGAGGAAGATCACACTTCCATTCTCTGTCCTTCGGCTCGTCACAAGAGACCATCCAGACAGAAACCCAATATTTTTTACTTTATATATATATAAACTACAATGTAGTAGAATCAAATAGATAAACCTTTTCCAAGCAAACATCCAATATAATATTTAATAACATCTCAGCCCACTGCTTGGAGAAAAATACACCGAAGATCAATGAAGAGTACAACAGTCCTTCAAACATTCCTACC